CCTTGACTGTCTCCTTCGCATACCAGCCATGTTTCAGGTCCACAAAAGCACAAGAAGATTTCCTGCTTCTGAGGTATTTGAAGAAGTTATTAACTAGCCTTAATGACTTCACCAAGATCAGAGTCTTCTCTGGCTCATGGGGTTTTCGTTTGTTTTCCTGTATAACTTGCCACGGTTTCTACTCTCACAATTGGACACGACATCCACTTTTATAAGCTGGACCCCCCTCCTTTTTTTAAAAAAAACCATAATGCTATTTATTTTGCTATTTAACTAGACTTGCTTTTTCATTGTTTTGGGAATTCTTTTAACAGAGAATGTGACATCTTACGTAGCCTCTATGCTAACAACAAACAAGTCATTTCTTTTAACTTCCTTGAATCACCTTCTTTTCTTTTAGGTACAGGTGAATCTATAGTAACAAGTTGCTACTGTCATCCCTCAAAAAAAAAGAGGTGGTTTTAAATCATATCAAGCCCTAAAATAAGAGCAGTTGCTCACGAGGCGACAGATTATTCTGTGTCCCTACCTCTTCTAAAATACTATGTGGTTAATACTGAATAAAACTCGTGTGAGGAAGTATAACTTAACAATTGCCCATGCAGTTTGACTTAATTTTATCAGGTCTTTGGGTGGAAATTCAACACAACACAAGTCTGGTCTTTATTTCTGCCAATTAATGCGTGGCAGAAGGATTACATTTCAGGGTATTCACATATTTACTTTTGGTCTAGCTGTCAAACTTTTTTATGAGCCTAGATTAAAATTCTTTGTTACTTTCTATGTTCTTGCATAGCAAATTGAAATTTAAATCTCACAAAGCGAATGCATATGCAATCTGTTCTATAAATAAAAGTGTCTATGAAATACTGCAGTTTCTTCTTGCAAACCGTGAAACAGAAAGGGATATTTTACAGTTGTCAGACAGCAAGTCTGACATGATCAAATTACGAGCAGGCCAGGTTTAGCTGTAACTTCTAAAAATACTCCAAGTTCAGGGATGTTTTCCTAAGATCAAGCTCATCACTCCTGTGCAGGAGGCAGAGACCTCCCGCTCCTGCCAGTTGACATGTCGGCCCTCACCTGAAAAGAGCAGTCTTGAAAGGATCAAAGGTTCTGAAAGCCATTTCAGACTTCTCCCACATCCAAGATTATTGACGTGCAGTCCCTCATCCTCCAGCTACCAACAACCCTAAGCTGTCAAAGCATCAAAGTGATCTGCACAGCCAACACACACACGTCCATCACCGCTGATCTGGAGGATATGGGAAACCAAAAGAGCATCCAACATAAATTTTGGCAGAAATTCCTCATCAGGGAATAGCACAGGCTGAGAATAAGCAACCGCTGGAAGCTAAGAGGCTTCTACATGCATCAGAAAACAACCTGGAGCCAAACCTACAAACCTCTAAGGTTTGCACAGCATAGATCATCATGTCATAGGATTTTGAAGTGCCAAGTAATAGGCAGTGCTGCAGTTGAGGTAATCTCTTGCCACCACGGAGTTCAGAATCACATCAATGTTATTTAGACAACTAAATGCGCCCCAGAGATATTTCTGAGAACTCAACTCAGGACCTTTGAAAGAAACAAATCAAATCTTTCCTTAGATAAAACAGTTTCCATCATCCCACTGACCATGGCATACAGGAAAGGATGTCAGACACTCCGGCTGATGAGCAGTGTCATGACAAGTTCAGTCTTGCACTGGAGAGCTCATGTGCTTAAAGAAAACCAGGGACTATGGCTGGAATGATAAGGACCTACTCTGCAGAGGTCAGGCTCATATCCAACGGTACCTTGAAGCTCATGATATCCCTTGGAGTTTGCTAGGGCTAAAACAAATTCCTTTCTGACATCAGTAAGAAGTCGAACAAACAAAGATTGCTCAAAATCTTACACTCGGTAAGCAAAGAAGGACTGATAACTTCATCACCAGAACTGGAACAAAAAGTGTATCTCCTTGCCAGAATCTAACAGACACTTTATGATCATGTCTGTGGCTTATTTCTTTTTTTTCTCGGTCACTGCTGTTACTGAAAAGACTAAAGCCATGCACAGAAATGAGAGAAACAGATCCTGTCTCAGAAAGTACTAGAGGATCTTGGTCTCCCCCTCACCCCAAAAATAAAGATACCCAGGATGCTGGGAGCAGATGTAAGGTGGCCTCTGCATGTTTCATGCAAGGCTGAGCCATTATCAACTTAGTTGCCGAATTAATTGCAAGTCCACAAGATGCAGCTCAGCAGAGCTCTCCCAGGGTGAGCCTTTCATCTTAACAAAAATTTATTTTCAGTAGAAAAGAAATAAAACACAACAATCGAAGGACAGGACACTATTAATGCTGGAGCTATTCTAAGAAGCAATGGAAAGTGTACATTATTTCCTAGGTAATAAAACAGAGAAACTTCAAGTATTTTTACAGGACCAAACACACTCAAAAAAAAAAAAAAAAGAAAAGAAAAAAAAACACATTCCTAGCTTCATCACAATACAAATGGTAAGAAAAGCTTCTTCGGAGCACTGAGCCTCGCTAGCAGAAGGAAAATAGCAGGCGTGACACAGCTGGAAACTCAAGCAAAGTCTGGGAGAACCTGGGAGTTGGCAGGGTTGATGCACATGCCCTTTCTAAGCGGAATCTGCACGAGCTTGGATAATAGCTGCTCCCAAGTAATCGGTGTTTAGACAAGCTTTATTAGAGGAGCTAAATCAGAAGTATTTACACACACCACAAATTAACAGTCCTTCTAAGTACTGTTGATACTATCAATAAAAATCCACAATATCATTTTTTCAAGTACTCAACCTCACTCAAAACTACTTCAGTGTGAACTGCACACACATTCAAAACACATTATGCAAAAGGGACGAGTTTAAGTCAAAGCAACTTTGCAACTGCACATTTTAATCCTTTCTAAAGGAGGAATGATTATCAAGGAGTTAGTGCACGATGTTTTGAGATTTCAGATCCTTTATGCTGAATTTGGTACCTCTTTTTGCTAATTAGAAGGCTGCATTTTACATATTTATATAACTAAATAGCTTAATTTCAAATCAGACTCTCAACTTCTATGTTGTTACAACAGTGACTGACATCTCCTGTTCACTTGATGCTACTTTTTATTCAGATTTGCCAGCCTGCTAGTTGAAAATTGTAATTCAAGCAAATAGCTACAAAATTTGTGTTTTCAAATAAATAATGCCATTCAATTGAAATACAAGAAAAAAATGTTTTAAATGCACAGAGATTTTGACAGTGTATCTGTATTCTATAAATAGAATCGAGCAATATAATATTACCCCCCAAGATAGCTATTAAGTCTCATCCTCTTAACTTTGCTTATACTTCAAAGAAAGAAAAAGATTCAGCTACTATTCAAAAACTGTGAAAAACTATTCTTAATTTTTGTCCAAAGACACACAAAGACACACAGGATATTACAGTTATCACAAGTCTTGCAAAACTGGAAGCTTTACTTAGTCCTATAATGCCTGAAGATACACAAATTTTCAACTTTCGTCTGCTTTATATAGAAAAAATCTGAAAATTAGCCAAGGTTTAAGAGGTTCAAAGCTTAATTTCAAATATAAAAACAAACAAGCTCTTTCATTTTAACATTTCAAGCCTTTTTAGGATTTGGAATTAGCAACACTGTATGTGGACATACATAAATCTTATTTTCAGCCAAACTGTCCATACCTAAAACTATAAAATTTGATCAAAGAGTCCACAAAAACCCAAGTCCCCTGAGACAGCAAAAAATAAAATGAGATAGAAAGATAATTTATTCCAGCTTATCAGTTCCTCTGCAGGTCCTTCTTTTCTCTACAATTGATTAGAGTCACTAAATAAAGTGAATTTACTGGCAACGAAAAACGCTAAAGCTTGGCAGCAAAGTTCTGTGCTGGACAGTCACCAAGAAGAGACATTTGCCTACTGCTAAAGCAGAAAACAGAGACGGAGGGAAAAAAAAAAGAAAAAAAAATCATTTTACTCCATTTCTCTGTATTCTAAACAAGAAAACCATTAGAAAAAAAATTACGCCTTTTACCTAGGTTTATGGTGAAGCAAAAATATTTTTATAATCTTCCAGCATTGGTTCAATGTTATAATTCTGAACTACACATAAAAAGTTTTTGAAGTTTTTGCTTCATTTTTTCCCAAGAAATAGAACACTAACATCATAATTATCACCTTTTGCTTTCCCAAGTTACCTTGTAAACATTGCTTGTCCTTTCGACTCCCTAAAAAAAGGTTTTCACACAGGTAAGCACCATTTTGACAAGCATTCACAGACAAATTCAGTTAACTGGCATCCAAAGAAATTTTTTAAAAAGAAGGCACTAAAATTTATTACTGAACTAAAAAAAAAAGGGGGGGGGAAAGAAAAAAGAAAACATCCAAGGAACTTATTTAATTTCTAGGAACTTAAGGCTCCTATTGCAACTAAACAGTTCCACTGTGTTCAGCTGCTACACCTTCATTGTCCCAAACAAATGAGCAAGGACTGTCCCTCGTCCCCTCGATGACTTTTGTATCCAGACTACTAAGATATTTCATCAGAGAAAGCTCACAGTAGAGTCAGTCTATTCTACAGTGAACTTTTCTAATCTGAATTTCCTAACCAGCTTCAATTCCTCTCAAACTCTCCACTAAAAGCACTTAAGAAGGCTTCTAGTATTTTCAAAAAATAGGTATTTTTTCTCCATCTACATACAAATCAGGCTATCTGCTCATATACCTAAATGTTACAGAGGGAATAAAGCATTAGGGAGTCATTCCAAAGATGGAAAACCTTTAAGAAAGTTTTACATACTACACAACAAGCTCAGGGCAAACTAACCCTGTATAATTGTTGTCTTATTCTTTCTTACCCAATTTTTGGCCTCTCCATTACTTCTCAAATTAAGTATATTACAAAGTCACGCTGCTTCACTATAGCACAGAAGAAAGCACAGATTCTTCTTTCTTTTTATTTTTTTTCCTCTTTAAACCCTACCTTGATCAGAAAGAAAGTCCAGCATGGTCTGGAGAAGGAAAGACAAGTGCCTGACGGACAGAGCAGGATTGCCCATTCTTCTGGAAGCATAAACTAGTTCATGGAGCAAACGCATCTGCACTGCAGCCCATCCTCTGTGAGGTCCTATGGAGGAAACAGAGTATTTACATTAAAAAAAAAAGCTAGAAATTATCAAAAAACATTATATTTAGTGTTCTTAATATGTAACAATTCAATGATACTTGTATAAAAACCTCCAAATTTAACCTATGGATTACAAAAAAAATCAGAAGTTCCCAAGCTAGTCTTCATCTATTCCATGATAGGTCATAGCCTATTTTACCTCAATATATTCCCTCTTCCTACACAATTTGTATAGTCCATTTGACATTTTCTGCCTCCTCTCACACACCATCTCTTTCCAATAACCATTGAAGTATGACTTGATGCAAAAAATAAATAAATTTTGTCTACACATACAGACAGTTGTCTACAAGCCTGTTGCAGTCCACAGAAATCCCACAAATGATTTAAAATAATTACCTTATATTCAATTTCAGCTAACATTAACACCAAGCTTTAATTATTAAAAAATGTCCCAAAAGAGCTTACTTAAAGAAGGTCAGCAGACAGCATGTAACTTACAGAAAATGAACACAGTTTTTAACTACAAGAATAGTCATGCATTGTTAAGGGAACTTTTTGCTCTGCTTTTTTAATAGAGGCAATAAAATGGGAACTTAAATGATATACAGCATCTAAAAACTGTTGGAATGCTCTTAACCAAATGTCAGTATTGCAGATAATATCACATCGACTTAATTCGGGGGAAAAAGTGACCTGATGCTAATCATACAAGTACAGATACAGTTGTAGATACATAGGGGGTTTATATATAAATATGTATGTATGTACATGTGTGCATCAATATATAAAAATGCAAGAAAGAACCTTTCATTCTTTGACAAAAAGCCAACAATGAATATAAAAAGAAACACAATTTCTGAGGCACAAGACGAATGCATTTAATTGAAAAATTCTTGAAAATAAAATAAAACTTATTTTGTATTCAGAAATCTATAATCAAACACAAAGAAATAGTTTTAAAACAGATAAAGAGATAATTATTCCCAGCAAGCAGAGGAATAGAGCACTTAGCATTTAGCAGCACTTCTCATCAGAATTTTGGAACTGTTGAAAATAACACCACAAGAACTAAATGTGCTCTACTTGCTGCAACTCATTTCAGGTACAGAAGTTTGTTCTTATTTGAAACATCTCCAGGAACTGAGATTTACAGCAAGCCAGTTGAGTGCTATTCCACCCCTCGAGCACTTACCTTGACTGAAATCTTTCGGATCCAGAGACAGGCTATACCCAGGGAGGGTTTCCAAAAGCAACTTGTAGCAGGCCCTCCAACCAGGTTCTGGTATGCTAGGTGCCACACACTGCATCGCTGCTACCCGCTTGAAAAAAGCCGATTTTCGGTGAAAGCCAATGCGTTCATAGAGCTCAGACAGAATGCTGTACCGCTGGATTTTTTCTTCTTCTGAGAGCTAAAATTTAATAGAGAAAGAGAAAAGGAATGCTTTTATCAAAATCTTAAAGATGATATGAAAGTAAAAAGTAACATGTAAAGAATGTAATAGGTATTTTCCAACTTTATAGAAAGCCAGTGATTTCTCATTCAGCCAGTCTTAGCATCTCCTACTGTGAGGAAAACTTAAGCTTCAAGTCCAACAGCTAACAAGAGCAGAAAACATAAGTCTCCTCATCACTTTTTCTGTCAACAGTATTAACAAATAGAAGGTCAAAACAGTCAATAACAGCTAAACAGTTTTGCATTTTATGGAAGATATTTATTGTGATATCTGTACGTGCAATTAGCACTCAAAAATGCAACACCTCCAAAAAACATTGATGTGCTAAACTAGACCTTTTCAAAGCCTTAACAGTGAACATACTAGTTAATGTTCAAATCTCAGGCTATGAAAATAAGTAATCTGTTTACCCAACTATTTGCACCTCCAACCTTTTAAATTACAAAATACGAATACCATGACTCTAAGCAGATAGCCTACCAGAGAGGAAGAATTTGGCAAAAGGTGAAGTCCAGATCAGCTTAAAGTTGAATTAGACTTGAGAAGAAACTACTGACATGGACTTCTTTGCTTATTCATACCATGGCACAAGACTCAGGTAATCATTCTTTCCTCTCTGGTGTAAATAGCAACCTTGCTTTGAAAACAGCCAAGAAGAAACTTCTGTAGGAAGTCTCAAATTTCCAGGTACTTCAATTCCATATCCCAGCAAGAAGCAATGAGCTCTGAAAGCGAATCAATGCTGACACCTAGTGTGCAAAATACAGCGTGCACATCCAAGAGCATTATAAAAGATTTTACGTTACCACAAATTATTTTGAAAAACACCTCAGCAGCTTTAAAGACATTTAAAATAACAAGCTTCACACTAAAATCGTGCTAATGAGGAAGAAATGGCACTTCTGCAACTCATTCTTTGAGATGGAACATACCCATCAGGAAAGTCTGTGTGTCTAACTCCAACTATTTTAAAGCCTTACAAATTCAAATGACGATCCCAGCCACAGTAATAGCTTTTACAGAAAGAATTAAGAACATAGGTCTTATAAATGAAGTCTAAAAATATACTTTAGTCACTTAAATTCTAACACACCCATAAAAATGGTTTCAAAAGTCACTGCCAATTTTGAAAATACTGATATGCACCCTCCAGAGACCTGCAGAAGGGACCATGACTGTATCCGACACTTCAGATCTTCAAAAGAGACACAGACTAACAGGTGACTTTGTGCAGTTTCAATCTTTTTGCAGCTGAAGTTGCTGTTGGCCACAGAATGAGCAGCACAAAATATACAATGCAAGTATGCAGCTTGTGCATTAAAAAAAAAGACTAATCCTGTAACAAAAGTTGTCTAAAGGCAATTGCACTAAACTGAAAAGTTCCATGAGTCAAAGACGTTGGAAAGAACAAAAGGCACAAAATGAAGACAGAGAACTTGTTAAGAACAGTTTGGTAGAGTCCCCAGAAGCTATCAGAAAGAAAGGTAGGGGACTAAGGTTTCTAGCAGGCAGAAAGAAACTTCAATCGTTTTTTTCTTTTTTTTGCCATTCATGTCATTAAAAGAAAAAAAAAAAAAAAGCATAATCAAATAAAAAACTCATGGTAGCAGAGCTGGAAAGGGCATGAGCACACAATCAAATATAGAAGTCAGAAGACCTTAAAAAGTATTAAAACTGTTTCTCAAAGACATAATTCTGTCCATGCATGTGTATCTATGGAAACTAAATGTTTAACATGGAAAGAGAAAAGGGTCGTGATAAAAATTTAGATGAACAAGAATGCTCACTCATAATCGGAACCACTATCAGGGAGGCAACATGTCATTCCTATTTGAATCCATTTTTAATGCTGTTACCTAACTAAATGCCTACGTTTTGCCCACAAAGTTGCTCAAATATTTTTTGTAGATGCAGGAAATTGCTTGTGTTTCCTCAATACAACAAGGAGGAAAAAATTTTGTCTTTTCCCTCAGCCTAAACAGCTCAGTGCTATCAGTATTCAAAAAATTAAAAATAAATAAATAAATAATAAAAGATAATCCCATAGATATCCCAAATCAATTGTTTCTGGGAAGCCTGTAGCAGCCATTCTGCAGGCCTTTCCTGGCCTTACAAATCTATAAACATGTAAGGCCTATTAGATGGTGGAAAACACTGAATAGCTGAAGCACAGCATCTGTTCTAGCTGGTTAATTTTCATCTAACTATTAAAGCAAAACAAACTAACAATTACATCTCTAAAAGCTCTTGTTGTCTAAAAGCCCATCCAAGTAACTGGGCTATTTTTTTTCTCAGGCCTTTTCTAAGTCAGGCTTTCAAGAGGGTAGTTGCTTATTGGATTTTTAATTATTCTTTCCTATATTAAAATAAGCTTCCAGCAATCTTTCTCAATTTTTAAGTGGATGTTACAACTTATTCCCCATAATTGGATGCAAAGATGAGATTTACTACCCTGGAGCTCTCCTATAACCAGAAAACAAGTTATTTTTAGAATGGACAGGAGATAGAGGGTATGGAAAGAAACCTGCATTATCTTTTTATCAGAAGCATACAATTTACCCTTTTGAGGGTTTTTTGTTGTTGATTTTCATTGTGTTGATATTTCTTCTATCTACTTGCAATAGAACTACACAATTCTGTAGCTTGTTTCTTTTTAACTTACAAAAAGATGACTCCTCCTTTAGCCCAAATTCTAAGCACCACTATTATCTGCCTCCCTCCTCTGTACTATAAATCTTGAACGACTGTGAAGATAACTTTCAGTCATTCCACAAGCTATGGGAAATAGATCCCTCAACAGTGGAAGGATTTATCTTCCTCATATTTCTCACATTTGTGCTTTCTAGAAGCAAATTTTCAAGCAGATGAATGAGATGTTGTCCATCTTGAAACCTGGCTGATCCATTGTCATCAGGTGTTAACAAGTTTAACTAGTATCCTAATAAACATGCTCAACAAAAACAGTTCACAAAGCTGCTTCAAATTAGAAAGGAAAATAACCAAGTCTTTGCTCCTGCCCTCAAACGAGAAGGTTCAGACATTTTTTCTCCTCTACATGTTCTGTCTACACAAGAGAGAAGGGACAAAAAAATCTCCAATCTCAAATAAAGTCCTAATGTTTTTACATGAGCTCTGAATACTTCTTTTTAACTACACTCAGAGATGTGAAAATCCTTAGAAGTAAAGTCCTGGTGAGGAAGTAAAGTCCTGGTGAGGAAGCTAGTGACACAGAAAAAGAACTTGATTTTCCTGAATCTACTTTCATGCTTTTAGTACAGTATCTTACATGAGAACAGAAAAATAATTGGACTTTCTGCACTGACCTGACGAAGGTTGATATAAACTGCGTTCTGAAGAAACTCAGAAGCTTCCATGCTCCTTTTCTGTATTGCAAGGACTCTCACAGCCTTTACACAGGCTTCCAGTTCAATCACACCAGCATTCTTGTACTTGAACAGAGAAAGAAATAAAAATAATAATATTAGAAAATAATAAAAATATTAAAGAATGGCAACTACTATAGTACTTGTCAAGATTTCTTTTCAGCACACAAGTGAGTTGTCACATCTCCTAAAGCTGGCAACCCCTGAATGCTACTGACTATACCATTAAACATACACCCAAGTTAAGGTATGATGAATTATTATGCAAAACAACAGTTTTCAATATCTTCACTCAGTTTTCACTATTTTAAAGGAACAGCAGAGCTTCACTGCTGAATCACAGCATAAGAGATACCTAAGATAAAAGGCATTAATATACAGGTCATTTTTGTAATAACACTTCAGCATTCTAAGCACTTGCCTTTACTATTTATTACAAAATACCTGAAATAGCATAGGAAGCAATAGTAACAGAACTCTAGTTTTCCTGCTACAAATCTATCCTTAGTTAAAACACTATCATTGATTACAAATGAATTACAAATCATTCTCATTTTTCTAATACACAGTCGGCAATATTATCTCTAAAGGAAAATTTCAGTTACACTAACTGAAGAGTAAGAGAGGAAACAATGTATACACATTGATCTGTTTGAGCTCAGACAATAAATGGAGACAATTTTCTAGACAAGCAATCTGATCTCATTATTTCCTCAGATTATACTGATATTGGACATTTGGGTATGCCTACCACTTATGTAAGTTAAACTCTGTTGAAGTGTTCATCATGTCCGAAATTTAATGTGGGAAATAAGGCGCAGAGTGAAATAAAAGAGCAATTTTCCACAGAATTACAATTATATATTTCTTGTGTATTTGAGATAGCAGCAAAAAAAAATGTTTAAAAGTCTATGAAGGTTTCTTAAGCTCAGTGATAAGTCTTAAGCAGATCAATAAAAAGGGTCCTAGGTTATTTGTAAGTGAAGGCAGAGAAGCACAGTTGTTACTTGGAAAGAGCACAACAGATATTATACTCCCACAATGGATAATATTTTAAACAAAATATGAATAACTTGGCTTAAACTAAGCCCAATAACTACTCTTAAAAAAATATGTTCTTTCTAGACACACAACTTATCATTATGTTAACACAAGAAGTTGAATATATAGTGGAGAATTACTGTGGCATTGAAGGACATATTATTTATTTGAAACCATTCCTAAAACCTTTGCTGTTCATCGCATCTGATCATAAATTAATTGATGTGCACAACATATCTTCTGGGCACATTTGGAGAATCTCTCTTTGTTACAACCATGGAAATGACATATCATTATTTTCACAACATTATCATATAAAATACCCCTATTTCTTCCTTTACCTTATTTGTACTTTTTTGTACATGCTTTAAAACACCCTCTGAAACCCAAGGCACAACATTTCATTACCTACAAGAAATTTAGTGTTAAAACTAAGGAGGACTACCTTGCTGTAATAAGAAATGGCTTCTTTATATTTATCTATGATGTCCTCAGGACTAAGGCAATTCTTGGCACGTCCTATCTCAGCGCTGGTATCTGCATTGATACCATTTGAAGTCAGGGCCCCTAAAACAGAAGAGGAGAAGAAATGAGCAGAAGTACTTTGAGTTAGTATTAAATATCTAAGAAAAAAAATAGAACATGCTGTAGGTGTTATCAAAGTATATACAAAGAATAAAGAAAGAAACCAGGCCATATCTAGAAAACAAGTGATCTCATTTGCTATGCTTTTCACTAAGCTCTCTTAATAAAGAAAACAAACGAGAAATGAATTCAATCATAAAACAACAAACAAGAAATAACTTTATACTTATTAAAATACAAATATATTCATAATATTTACACTAATCTGTATATTTGGACAATGAAAAAATATTACATTGTTAAAATTAGAGACAAATTTGAATATCTGCTTTTAATCTTTCATTAGTTTTCATTTACTGACAAACTGTATTCCCAGAGGACACACATAAAAGAAATTGTGCAGTATGTTATTATAAACTAATTAATGGAACAGCAACCTCCTCTTCCAACACAATCACTTAAAGCAAATACTTCTATTCCTGATCTCCAACCCCAGACAACTACTAAACTATTAAAAAAAAAAAAAAAAAACCCACACACACACACTCCCCTGAGGCCAGTAAAATAAGAAATTGCATTTCATATATAGTAAAGAAAACGAGAAAGAGACAGAGAGGTTTACAGACATAAGGCATGAGAATATGACATAGAACACAAAAAAAAAATCTGGGGTATTGCACAGAACATAACAATTTTAACCTTTGAATGCAAATTTATTGCAGAATTACCATAATTAAACACATACAAAGACCTGTAAAGATTCTATATCCTTTTAGATGTCAATCTGTAACAAAGTCCACGCCTAACTTTCTACTATAATTTATTTCTCCAAGATGTTTCTCTGCTAAGACGGCAAAGAAACCTTTATGTTCCGGAGCTGGTCCAAGCTCTTAGAACAGTTATGGTTAAGAACTACCGTAAAAGCTGCTTTTTACTCCCTTTGTGCTACTAATAAAGAGAAAAGACTTTGGAAACATGCATGAAAAAAATGTACCTGGATCAATGAGAACTTCTTGTGCCCCTAAAAGGAGGAACAAAAATGATTTTTTTTCAGCCTTCAATACAGCCAACACAATAAGCTCTTATAATATAGTTTATAACTATCATCAGGCTTGAACAAAATAATAAAATGTATTAGAATCAGCATTCCTATATTGAAGGACTGCCAAATACATAAGTAATCACCATATGTTAAATCTAATTTTGTTAAAAAAAAAAAAAAAGAAAAATTCTTCTAACATTATAATCAATTTTAAGGCAAATCAACATAAAGTGACTAATTTTTCATGATGTATTTTAAAGTCAAATCCTTTCTGTTTTTTAATCCCTTTCTTTTTTCTTGTTTTAATCAGCAAGTTTCTATGACAGTCCACTTACTATATTTCAATAAGCAGGTCCTACGGCTCTTACATCTCTGTATGGGAGCTCGTGTAATCTACACAACACTCTAGAGAAACCCTTTTAAACAGCTGTAACCAATGTATCCCTTACAATTGTCATTAATTTCACTCCATGATTTTTTTTTTTTTTATGATTTGAATATGGCCTACTCAACAAGACAGGCTATTTACAGCACAGGGTTGACAGGACTGTTGGAGGCAAACTGGTTTAATTAGAACTTTTTTTGTTGTTGTAACAACTTTTTACTATTAGAAAGATCATGCAGGCAAGTGGTTCAGGTGGAAAAAACAAGGCTACACATCTACCTTACTCAGGCAGATATTTTAAATGTGATGTTATTGATTAATTCTCTTGTAAATGAACTACTCCTGCATAGAGACACATCTTCTAGGGAGTTTCAAAAGGAAGTGAATGGTTCACCACCAAAAACCACACGATATTCTGCTGGCTGCAAGTAACTGTGAAATATGACATTACGATTCTGCTCAGCAGAAAAGTAACACCTCCCTTTTCTTAAAGTTGTGTTTTATGCTATAGAAAGAGAGACAGTGTTAATGTTTCTCTCCCCAGATTTTTTTTTTTTTTTAAAAAAGCAGCTACCACACCATTTGCTGAGTAGCCTGGTCCTGCGTGATAGCCAAAATATTGCCAATGGGTAGAAGCCACAAGAGACTCAAGAGGAACAGGGTTTTTTTGGCTAGGTCTAGGCACAAGGGGCATAACAAGAAGAGGCTGAAGTTACATGTGCTAGAGGAGGTGCAACTCCAGGCATAGCAGGAAGATACAAAGATATCTATCACATCTATACTCCTTAAAAGCAGGTGTGAGTTGAAAAATAAGTTCCAAGTATATCTAGACGGAGGTAGAATTTGGAAATCCAAGAACTTTTTAAGATCCGCGCTGACTCTACAGAGAGCTATACTGGATTTAGTTCCCTAGGTTAAATCCTGTCCCTACAATATTAGTCATATCAAGATAACTGTATAAACAAGGTTGCAATTTTGGAAAAAAGGTTTTAATGAAAGGCATTGCAGAATCGGCAAAAGGCAATGAAAAGAATCTTTCAGAAGATAGAGGAGAATGACTTCACTATCCTTTGGGCTAGACATTAGAGGTCAACATTTCAGATATCAAAACATTAAAAGGTCATAACTAGAGGAACGGAACAGTATCTTGTGCACCATGCAGTAACACTTCTATCTGAAAGGAACAAATAAAATAATCAATTTGTCATCATTTTATTAATGTTTGGTTCCTAGTTTCTCAAAAATCTTGTCAAACAGTGCTTACGGTTTTAAAGCTTTAAAGCATTAACAAGCTTGCAGACTACCGGTGACAGAATGACTCTGAGCTACAAAACAACTTACCAATAAAAGCAATTATATACCCAAAATATGTTTTATTCAATTATTTTTACAGATGGAATTTATTTTTACATCTTCTACTAAAAAGGAGAACACTTTAGCAAAGAAGCGATTACCACATATACAGTTAAATATTTGCTGAAAAGTTCATAACGGGGTGACATTATACCGTAATAGCCTACACAAAAACACTCAGAGGTCAGAAGATCAAATGAACAGACTTTAATCCCTATACACTGTATGTATACATGGTATTTTCTCCTGAAATAAGGCAATTATAATTGTTGACCCCCAAATTATCTGGGGTTAAAGCACATCTTTTTTATTAAAGATGCCACAAAGAATTTCATTGCTAGGTTGTGATTTATATATGAATAAACTTTGGGTCTTTCTAAATGAAGTAATTATTTTTAATCACACCACACACCAAAGAGTATTTATATCAGCAGTCAAACTCAGCTTCTATTTGTTTCAATACTGTACATCAACCTAACTATGTGAGAAACCGTGGTTGAGCTGGGTTAGACCCAGCTGGACTGGGTCTGTCCAGCCTACTAGTCTAACTCCCACGAAGCAGACAAAAACAAAGCCAGCTTTTATGATATGTCCCCTGGCCTGCAGTCATTTGGAGCTCCCACTTTCTGAGGCAGTTTTCCCATATTTGAGAAATCAAAAATAGATATTTCTTCCATGAACCCTACCCAGCCCACCCTAGAAGCCACCTTAACTTTCATTTCATTTTTTTTCCCCACAACTGTTATTTCTCCTAATAATTCCTACATGTGTTAAGCAGGCCATCTCCAATGTCATATCAGTACCGTGTAATTATTACATTAGTGATGCAATGTAAGAGTCTATAAAAACCATGCTGAATCTTAAGAACAGTGCTCATTTATGGGTATATTTTGTTAAACAAAACTATTTGTTAAATGCTGGCTTTGCAACAGTGAAACACGTCAGCATAAATATACCTAACCTTTCCTTCTCACACGCGCAGCTCTTTCACACCATGTGTGTTTTCTGAAAACTGTCCGCATTTCTTGGATCAAAATTCAACTGATACTAAACTGAAACTAAATCAGATGGAAGTAATATTGATCCAAATCTTTACAACTCTCTGTAAAGCACACATGCTGACATTAGCCTCAGAAAAATCATTAATGTAAAAATTTCTGAAAGAAATATATCTCTAGTTTGCTTCAGTTCATTCTGTTATGTATAAAATTTTACTAAAAGTAGAAAGTGGGGAGGATATTGCCATTACTGAACATGTACAAAACGGAACAGAAATGGACTCCAGCACTTACCTGGTCTGTGCCTGTTGCCTGCCTCAGCAGAAAGAGAACCTCCTTGTGCCCTACGAGTTCCAGCTTTACCTCCAGTACCACCAGGGTAATGGTAGATGACTGATGCTGAGCACAGTCCTTCGAGAGCAGCTGGAGATTAAAGAACCAAGAGGTGAGTAGAATCAATTCATTAAAATGAAGTGTCATGTAGTAGAGTCAGTGTATTTACATGAACATGCAGCATATTTCAGCAGGGAACCTAGTGACAAAGAGCAGACTATAAAGAAAATCCTTCTGGAAGCCACTTCCAAGTACATAAAGGACAATAGGGTGACTAGGACCAGCAAACATGGATTTTTAGAGGATAAGTAATTCCTCATCAACCTCACTACCTTCTACAATGAGATGACTGACTCAGCAAACAATGGACACTGTGTACCTTGATTTTAGCGAGGCCTTTGATGTGATCTCCCATAGCACCCTTATAGCCAAATTGATGAGATATGATTTGCAAAGTGAACCATCAAGTCAGGGGAAGATTTTTTGGACTAAGAGCCTCAAAGAATGAGACCAGCAGTAAAAAGTCCAACTGCTTGCTAGTTGCTACTGATGTCCCTCGAGGTCAATACTGGGACCTATACGCTTTAGTACCTTTATTAACAGTTTGATTGATTGCATAGAGCTCATTTTCAACAAGTTCACAAATTATATGAAATTCTGGGGGGGGGGAGAAAGGGCATATTCCTGCTCTTTTCATGCCCTGCACAAGTAGATACATTTTCCTTTCCTGCTTGAAGAAACCTGAGCAACTTAAATCTTTTTTTTTTAATTTTGCTTTAATTCTTAGTCACTCTTGACATTCAGAGTTTGATCACCTAAAATTGTTCCTCCTTTTCATAGTACAGAAAGAATGTTATAGACGACAGTTGGATTTCTTTGATTTTAGCAAATAACTACTTGATCCACTATCATCAATTAATCCTACCTCCAAGCCACAGAAAGTCATTTACAGACCGCAGAAGTTCCACAGCCATGTGATAATGCACTAAGGAATCCTGTAACATCCCAGCTTGCAAACACAGGTCACCAACATGTTTCCGCATCCGGCCTTGACAACGCTTCTTATAGTGTCTGCAAAATAAAAGACACAGTTTATAATTACTTCCAGGAAACATCTATTTGAGATAATACTTAACCTTTTTACTTTCCTCCTTAAGAATGTATCAGCACTAATTTACTCTCTAGGCAAGCATCCAGCATGACTCTAACCAGCATAATACACAAAAGAATCAATGTTCTGCGGAGATATAGAGAAAATCAGTACAACTTATATTTTGGCTATATAATATTAACATACACAGTCAGACAAAGTTCAGAGATTGTTCTTCAGAATGCTTTAATAATATTTAATAATGGCAAAACTTAAATAAAAGTATACTAATAAAAACTAAAGAACTGGTAAAGTCTGTGAAGCAGTATTATCTCCTTAGAAATACCATGGCATAGTAAAAAATAAGATAATACTTTTATTTTGAAGGGATAATTAGTGGAAGAATTGATCAAGCCTGCAACTACTTTTCACTTTTCTTCCTACTCCACACTTAGAGACTCATTCTGACCACCATCATCTCTGTCAAAAAATGACAGGTTTCTGTTTCTACTCCTATTTATTCAAATACAAACAGCACCACCAATGCAGCTCCTTTTCTAGCCCAACCAAAATGAACAGACAAGTAAAGTAAGGCCTTACTGAAATATTAAACAGACACTTTCATGCAACTGGAAAGGCAATAAAGCACAGCGTATTCATTTTTTTCCTTTAGATTTTAAGGCATAAAGGCTAGGAGAGATGAGAACAATGAAAACATTTATATTAACTACATGTTACTGGGTTTTACTGAAGATAAGCATCAAGTTCTAATGATGGCCCCTACATTCAACCATGAAATAATGCATTATTTTTTGAACTTAATTCAAACAAAAAAAAAAAGGGAAAAAAGAAGAAAAAAAACTTATCAAGAGGTTAAGACAAAAGAGACTGATCATGGCTCAGTCTGGGAACAAGAATTTACAGGTAAGTTATATGGAAAAACATGCAATCTCATATTTCAAAATCAAGTAGAAAAGCAATCAGAGCAGTATTACAAGTCATCAAGAAGTATGTCTCCTATTGCTTCTATATAGCAAAAAGTGGCAAATAAATCCTATAAATCCATATATATATATATATTTATTTATATATAGCCACTTCTCTAACACATCATATTCATAACTAATATGATGAAGAGGGCAACACCTAAAATTACAAAGACTGTTTTCTTTATCTTTCAGGTATGTTAAGAAATTGTATTATTTCTTATCTCTGTTTTTTCCAATCAGATTGTAGTTAATGAATCTGTTCTAAGCAAAAACCAATAAAATATAAAGCGAAAACTAAAGCTGTTCTGCACAAACTAAGAACACCAAATCTTAACAAGACTTCAATATAAGCTTCGGCTTTTAGAGAAATACAGTTGGTCAAAATGTTGTTTTATAATTTTTTTTTTTATAAATCTTGCAAATCAAAAATCTTGCAATCTTTTTAATCTTGTAAACAATTTATATTCTCCTAAACCACCCTGATTTAAATCAGGGCTTTGTTAGTCTCTGCAGTTTAAAAGGCAAGGAAGCTTGTAAATGTTAAAATTTGAATTTTTAATTTATGGACAAACTGCATTCCTTATTCTGGCCAAATTGTCATATTATATATTTTAGTGCATACAAAATGATCTTTATTCATTACCATTCTAATTCTCTATCCTGGTATTAATTACTATATCAGTTTTTCATCATGATCTGTAACAGGTCCTTTTCTTTTTTCCCCCCCTCCAAATATTAGTATCACAGACAAGAAACAAAGATTCTGAGTAGCTGAAAGGTTATATAATATTTATTTTGAAGAATCTCCCATCCATATTTCAAATGAGATCATTTCACAGTTTATAGTGGCAGCAATCAACAGGCTAGTAGCAACATTTAAAAATATAATAGGAAAATTTAGAGACCCAAGCGAAGAGCTCAAAATATCCAAGGCAAACCAAACAGATTTTATTTTCTAATTCCCAGACTGCATCAATTACTATTTTCTGCTTAATTTTATTCCTGCTTTTTGTACTTAACTGGAAGAATATTTTAAAGAAAGTTCTTTTAAATAAATACTATTCAAAAAAAGATCATAATATATCTTAATAACATCATTAAACTTACATGAGATAAGCTAGAAAATTTTTAGAGCAACTAATATTTTCCAGATTGAGTATTTTTAAGTTCTCACATCTATATTCTAAAGTGTAAGTCCTACAGGAAAAGAAGAATAGAGCTAGACTCCTCAACTGGAATCTCATACCAGAAGTGCTTCAGTCACACACCACCAACTCTTCCTAACCAGTATCTAATGCTACTAAACACTAAAAAGTCAAGTCGCAGGCCTGTGGCCAGTGGTCGAGTTGAGTCTAGTTGGAGGCCTAGGGCCAGTGTGTGTCCCAGAAGTCAGTACTGGGTCCAGTGCTGTTCAACTTGTTCATCAATGACTTGGACGAGGGCACAGAGTGCACCCTCAGCAAACTGGCGGACGATACCAAACTGGGAGGAGTGGCCGACACTCCTGAGGGCTGTGCTGCCATTCAGAGAGACCTAGACAGGATGGAGAGTTGGGCAGAGAGGAACCTCATGAGGTTCAAGGACAAGTGCGGGGTCCTGCACCTGGGGAGGAATAACCCCAGCACCAGTACAGACTAGGGGTTGATCTGCTGGAAAGCAGCTCCATGGAGAGAGGTTTGGGCAGACAACAAGTTACCCATGAGTCAGCAATGTGCCCTTGTGGCCAAGAAGACCAATGGGATCCTGGCTGCATCAGTCAGCAGAGAGCAACCAAGATGATTAAGGGCCTGGAGCATCTATCTTATGAGGAAAGACTAAAAGAGATGGGCCTGTTTAGCCTGAAGAAGAGAAGACTGAGAGGAGATCTGATCGATATGTTCAAGTACCTGAGGGGTGAATGTAGGGAGGATGGGGCCAAACTCTTCTGGGTGGTGGCTAGTGACAGGACAAGGGGTAATGGGTACAAGCTGAAATGCAGGAAGATCCATCTCCATGCGAGGAAGAACTTATTTCCTGTGAGGGTGACAGAGCCCTGAAACAGGCTGCCCAGAGAGGTTGTGGGGGGTTGGACTAGATGACCTCTAGGGGTCCCTTCCAAACTCAACCATTCTGGGATTCTGTGATAACATTTCTCTCTCAGAACCTCTACCTCTTTATAAGCTAAAACATAAGTTATTTTTGATTATAAGGATGTTAACTATTCATCATTCAAAGGCTGGATTCATTCTAGACTCTTAAATGGGGTGCCAAGATAGGAGCTACATCCTATACTCTTTGCAAAGCCTTCACCATCCTCCTTGAGAATACTTCCCCAACGATTATAGAGGAAACTTGCACTGCACAACTGCGTAAATTGTATTTTAATATAGCAATCACAATCATGACAATAAATTCAAATATGCTGGTTTTCAACTAATGCACGTGTGTCTGAAGAGACGAAAAGCTAAGATTTCTTTAAAACTAAACCTATAAACAGGAAAGCTCAAATTATATTTGGGAAACTTGTTTCAGAAAAATCATGCCTACAAAATCATGTCTTAACAATATGGCTTAATGAAGTACTTAATTATGACTTAACCAATTATTGAATCAATCATTTAATGTATAGTATATTCAATGCGAAAAAAAAACCACACAGGCTGACCCTCCTATGATAAAAATATGATCATTCATGAAGTTTCACAGCTTTACCAAAACAATCAGGCCGCAGCAAGAAGCTTAGAGATACCTTCTTTATAATTTAATTTTGATTAAAGCATTGTTTAATTGTTTTGGTTCTCCATTGTTTTATCCTGCCCTATCTGAGGACAGGAAACCCACACAAAGCAATTGCTACTTTTCTAGGATATCACCGCTAAGAGCTGTTTATCTGACTTTTTCCCCAGGAGGGATATTTAAGATGTCTCAAAGACACAACAAAAAGAGGCCCTTTCAGCAAGCATGATGCACTCAAAAACATCTCAGAGAAGGCCATGTCATATGATTTATTCAAATGCAACAGTCATGTAATTCAGTACTATGTGCTATATACCTCGTAAATTCAGAATATCATCTGAATTCCTCTTCAGAACGTCCTCTCCTCAACACATGTCAAACACCTGCCTATAAAGCTACGTGAAAATCTTCCTCTCTAAAGTTTCCCAGATATGGTAGTTTTATACCAAAAATACTGTTCTTCAGAGTAATATTCACCAGTATTGCTATCAGTAACCATTACTACTACTTCAAACTTGAGAAAAAGCCCAGTTTTCAGAATGGAATCATAAAGCACTACTGTAACTCATCCCCACTTCTACCTCACTTGCTATATAGGATATATTCTTTACCCCTCCCATCCCCAGCTCTCCTCTTCTGACCTCTCCTCTCTCGAGCTAAAATTGCCTAGAATGGCAACAAGGACATTACTTGGAAAATTCAGAGCAACAGTATTACATAGAAATAGAAATTATATAGATATAAATTATTTTCACTACAAACCAAAGCAACAAGTTTGAAAGGAGTTTCTGAATCCTCAAAATTTGAAAAAGGCTAAATTTAAAAATAAAAACATGCAAAATTAATTCACAAAAGTATTCATGCAAAATGCTTCAAAAAAAAATTTCCATCGAATTCTGCCAATTCCAATTAGCATGCATGACTATAGATTTCACCAATCATAACATTATTCAGACTTAAAAAACACGGCTACAGCATTTGACTGACTTCCAGAACTGTTGAATTTGGAAACCAAACACAGGCAGCAATAGCTTAATGGTTTCGGAGTTTGAACAAGAAAGCAAATTCCAGAGGCCAGCAGACACCTAAGCAAATTATTGTGTCCTACAAAAAAATTCAGCATTGCTATCAAATACAATTGCCAAATGTGCCAAAAGGGGTCAACCACAGTAGTGAGGGTCCAGGCAGCAATAATTTTTGTAGGTAGTGAAAAACAAATATAAAAAGCAATACTAAACTATGCAATGAAGGCAGAGTGGAAAGCCAGGACATGGAAGAAAGCTAACTATTTTTAAACATACACGATCACGGCCTACCTTTTTAGACCCAACAACAAACTCACAGGGCAGTATGAGAGAAGAAGAAAAAAAGAAAGGAACAAAACAAAAATTAGAAAGACAAAGAACACAAAGAAAATTAACAGCCACATACACATACTTAAGTATCACAAAGTTTGACAGATCAGTGAACAAGTCCCACCAACTATACTACTTAGAAAAACAGATTTTTACAAATAGTTTGACTTTCTCATCACTCAATAGTATTAAATAGATGCCCTAGAGTATTAAAAAAATAATCCTAACACACAGACTGACATAAACATTTAAAATGAGCTTATGTAGAAAGATTATAAATACAAGCATGCAGAGGATTTTTTAACTGAAAACAGAAAGGCCACAGAAAACTTAAGCAAATGGTATTTGTCAAGATGGTCAAGAATGGACTGATTTCAAAGGGAAAGTCTTACCCTACATCTTAAATAGGGCCGCACAATATTATACTCAGTAATACAGATGAAGAACATGGAAATTTTCTCTAAAATAGCACATTCTAGCTATAACCCTACTATACTATTTCTGGTAAGCATGTTTCCCTATTTCAACTTTGGAAGACTATGAAAAAAGGTTATATAAATTATAAGATTATAACCATATGTTCCTAGGAGACTATGTAATTCCATTCCCTTTAATCTGAGTCCATTCCCAGTTCCTAATCTGCAAACAACTACCAAGAGCAACCAATAATGAAAAAAACTTTTTCAACTATTCTCAGCAGCCCTGTGACAATATTGTATGCCATCTGCAGACAAAGAACAGAAAGACAAGAAAATTAACTGATTTGCCAAGATCACATGATGGCTGGTTCCTCCAGCAGTTAAACCCAGTTCAGACTCTCAGTCCTACAGCTTTCTGCTATTTCTTCAGCACTTTTTAGGACTCACCAATAGGGATTGCATTATTTTTGCTAGGTAAAGTTGTTATGTAAGTTTTTTACCAGACAGAAAAGTTATTCAACAGATAATCACACAATGTTTTTTTCTATATTACTGTCTCCATATGTATTCTGGTAATATCATCCCATTGGCTCAATGTACAAACAACCTGTCAAAAGACAAAGATCAAGTGCACCTTTCCTCAGAATCTTACGCAAAAAGTAGCTTAAATCATGTTCATAACTTACAAACAACACATCCAAAAGACAACAATTAGGTTTCTGCAACCTTCCAGCAAATATGAAGTTTTCATACTAATGTCAGTTTCATAAACAGGGCAAGACAAAATATCAATCCTATTCATCCAGTTCAAATCACAACAATAGGTCTCATTTAGTATGTTACCATAAAACCATTGGAGAAAAGTCTATTTAAGAGATTTTAAAAGTTGAGTAGTTTTAATTAGTCTTTCAGTTGGAAAAAAAAAAAAAAAAGATAAATCCCATAAAACTTCTTAACATTTTCTCAGTCAAAATGCCAACCTGGCTTATTGGAGTATTGCTGTAACCCTCAGCTAAATCCATTGAGACCTCTGCTAAAGACTACAAATTTTACTTCAAAAACTTAGAAACTGATGGAAAACAAATGCTTATTTACACTAAGCAGACAACCACAATGACAGTAGCAAAGATGGGTACTGTCCATAAGAAGCACTAGCTTCCATCCTTTTAATTTAGGAAACTGAGGGCAGTTACTGTATCAGTGACTATAAAGTCAGGATACACCACCCAATGAAAGTGAGGAAGAATAAAAACAGGATATAAAAAGACTAAAGGGACAATACTTGCCTTTTCCCCTTTAGAAATTTCTCTCTGTCTAGAAGAGGCTATGTCATTGTTCTATCTCAATAACAACTTCGTTCTTTAAACTCATTATTCTCAAAGATTAAAATAACAAAAAAAAAGAAAGTTCTTAGATGCTTTCTTATGCATTCCAAGTACTTAGACAACCATTAGTCCCTCACCGCACAGAATCATACAAAGCAACATTTTACCAAGACAGAAACTGGACTCAAGTGTAATAAGGTCTCTTCTCAAACTCCATATTATGACCTAAAACAATCATTTCCCCTTATTTAGGGAACCAGTCACTACAAAAGAGAATATTCTACAATGAAAAGCTTGTCTTGAAACTCAAGTAATAAAATGAGATATAGTCGTATTTCACATCTAAAGATTTAAGTACAAGTCCTTTTGAAGTTTTAAAATGTTTTAGAAGTTGTTTTCATTTAATAGACTGATCTCAGTTGAATCACATTTCACACTCCTGAATTCCTGCTAAATAGACCATAGAGGAAGAGAGATGCATCAGGGACAACAAATTTTCTTAAAGGTGCCTTTTTTCCAATAGGGAATGTTATCCCCATGCATTTGGGATTACATACATTTCTCCTGTCTGTTACAAAATCCAATTACATACTTAGAACATCTGCTTAGTTTCCTGCCTAATGCAAAATACTAAACTGAATAGCAAGATTTTTTATTCAGCTTGTATATATTATTATATATTGTCCAAGTTTTAAAATAATCAGAAGTTCTAATTCCATAGCATTTAAAAAAAAATGGAAAACAATTTTTTTTTCAGATGAAGAGGAAAGATTAGGATATTCATCATTTTTACTTTGAGGTGTTAAGTTCAGAAAGCACTTCTTAGTTAAACGACGTCCACTGACATAGACTTACTGAAAATCTATTTAGTATTCAAGCCATTCAACAAGGTTGTATGCATATCTAAACTACTGCTTAATTCTTCCTAAACACATGAGGGAGGAAAAGGTCATGCACCCTGTATTTTGCAAAGAGTTGAGGCATGACACTACATTTGTTTCCAGATTTCAGTGTAATAGCACAAAATTTCTTCTCGGATATATATGGATAAATATACACCTTGTTATTTGAACTCCCACCACTGCAGAATTTCACAGGAAATATTTGACCACTAAAACCCCAGTCAATGCTCATAAATATGTAATTCTACAATACGTAATTTTAACCTTTGGAAGAATGCTACTTAAAAAAAAAAAAAAAAGAAAGCAAAATTAATTCTGATATTAAGGCAAAGAATTTTCAGAAAATGTCACAGCTTTCTTGATTAGAAGCATGGAACTTTTGTGATTACGGTCATCCAAAATTCATCCAAACTGAGTAACTAAAGCCAAGATACTAAAAGGGTCTCCAAAAAAATCTAGCCTACAAAACTTTACTGTCCATGCTGCCTGTGGAAAAAAGAACACCATAATAATTGATATTGCTAATGGGACTAACCAGAACACTGAAAGAGCATCTACAGTTGGAAATAACTGTACAGCACCAAAGAGGATCTGCAGCAGGGGGAAGGTGGTGTTGGCCATTTGCTCAGGTTACCAGAGACAAACATAAAACACTGATTTGAAATACATTATTCCCACACTTATTATGTGGGAATAATGTATTTCCAGGTCTCTCTTCTCCAAGATGATAGGAAGATGTTTGATTTCTTACTTTGGATTTGCCTTTGAACAGTGGAATGAAATAGATTTTGCATCTGCCTGTAGCTAACCCAGAATTACTAATCTCTAATACCAAAACTTGGTTACACTAAAACCTGAACGCTGAGCATGCAAACAATTAGGTGGGAATGACATGATATGAATTACAAATAATAATTATAATAACAACTTTAACACAGACAAATCCTCTTCACAAAGATAACAATTGTGAATGGAATGGTAGCAAAGCAAGATGGCTTAAGGCCACCAAATAATTAAGGAACATAAGAAGGATAGGGCAAGATGATAAACTCAGTCAGCAAAATCATATGACCACTATTTCACGGCATGAAAAATATATTAAGCATTATCAGACAAATACTACACAAAAATATAAAATGAATTCTGTTAATGTTAACTGAATTTATTAGCACTGTATATCCATAAAGTATTTATTTTCAATAAGAAGTCTCATTGCAGTGGAATCTGTCAAATCTCTTCTGCAACTTCATCCTACTATGTGATTAGCCTCATAAATAATTATACAGCTAAACGCAAGACACAAAATACAGTAAGACAATAAATTAAATTATCTTAAATTACAACAGACACACACAACAAAATAGGTTCACAGTCTTTGCGGTAACAAATTACAGTTTGTCCTTTCTAGTAGGTTTATTCTAGAGGCTAACAATAGCCAAATGTGTTTTTCAAAACCTACCCATTGATAAAAATAGCTGCTTACCTACTATCTGTGTCCAGACCCACAAAGTCCTTCTTTTCAAAAGGAACACAGAGAAGCGGGATCTTGTCTCCGGACTTATCCGTGGCTCTGTCAAGTCGCTTAGACTCCAACACGATGAAGAGGGATTCAATAAAATCTTCTATCCTCTTCTCCACAGTCTCACACTCATCGTAACTGGGGTAAAAGGCCACGTCTGTGCGCGGCTGCTCTGCAATGTCCCCTTGCAGCCCGAAGACAAACAAGCGGGAATCGTACAGCGTCGAGCCATACGTTTCCTTCTGGAGATGGAATTTTTCGAAGGTCTGAGGCCATTCCTTCGCGGAGGAGCACTCCGTAAGAGCTATCAGCCCCACCACTTTGCGGTGCGTCTGAAAATCCCCCCATTCGTTGTTCTCCGGCGGGTAGTGGTGCCTATAGCGGATATACAGCACTCGCTGGGAGTCGCGCACGTTCACGAGACTCACAGCTGAAATTCGCTTGTAGATGCGAAAGAAACTCTCTTCTGGCACGATACCAATGGGCTGCACCACAACCAGGAGCGTCTGGTGGTCCTCAGCACACTGCATGTAGTCAGGGACACTCATTTTCCCTCTGCTGTGGGCTAATAACAGAAAAACACGTATTATTTTTAAGCATTCAGAAGTGCCCATGCCTGCTGATTTGAGGACTTGGATTCTATTCCTGCACACTGTTCATTATTTGCTCCTCTGAACTTCTTCATATTTAACTGCTATATTCTCCCTTTTTCGAGTTAAAACACTGCTCTTTGCTACTTGCAGCATTCTACTACATTTTCAATTACACAAAGTTAAAGAGAGCACAAGGAGCTCTTAGTCATGTAGCCGTACTTGGACTCTCCCGTCTGTCTCCCCAGTACAGCACCAAAAATAGGGGGGGAAAAAAAAAAGGATAAATTAACACCAGCTCTAAATAACCACATTTTTCAGAAGGTCAAGTGAAAAAACAGGTCCACAAGACTTCTTCAAGTAGAGCTGAAGCCATTATTTAAACAAAACACACATGGGTTTATCTAGGCAACTACTTCTCCGTTTAAATACTTAAAATCCCCTGCAAGCTCTAAAATTTGACTGTACTACTGCAGCTTAAATGCAGATGGTTACAGCCGAACATTTTGTGTCCCCTGACACCTCCTGGACCAAGAGACCCGTTGCCAGCGCTCAGCTTAAACACACCCTCTAAAAATGTAAATAACGAGGGGGGAAATAAGTAAATAAACAAAATAAAGGCAGCACAACGACACTGACCTCGGGCCCCCCGTAACGGCCACCCACCCCCCACGTGTGCGCGCGCGGGGCACGAGACCGGGGCGGGGGGAACGCGGGGTGCGGGGGTCACTCACAGCCGGGACAGGAACCGCCCCCGCCTCCTTCCGCGGCCG